TTCAAATTCAAATCCATACTTAACCAAGGAGCTCACTGGATAACTGTATACCTGTCAAGTTTGTTGTTGAAAGGATAAAAGGAGGGGTAATCACCATTTTTCACAGCCTTGAGCCTCTACAGGAAAGGCAGGACATAAAAGCAATACAAAAATAAATAAGTGAAATCATTGAAGCAACATTTAAATTTGGTTTTCATGTTCTCCTGCCGTTAAGAGCCAAACCAACTCTTATCTCCATAATTTTCCTCTGAGTTTTCTTTCTAAGATGTGAAAAGGGTGAAGCTAGAGTTTAGATTAAGCACATCTTTGCATCATGTTTCTTAAAACAATACAAGTGGCTGTTTCTGGGAAGAATCATAGTAGATTCTAATGAGAAAAAATGAGAAGTTTAACTATTTTTTTCCATATTATTTCTGATGAGACTCACTCTCTCAAAGCTAATGTTTGTATTGAAAGGAAAATGTCCATTGTTACCAAAGAGGAATTCCTCATAATCCAAATTGCAAATTCAAAAGAACTGCTTTTCACAACATCATGAAAGATAAACACTATTTCCTATTTTTGAGATTCTGTTACTAGCATTACTGACCTGTGTCTGCTATTTCTGAATTTTAAAAAGAACTATGCACAGTGAACACAAATGAAGTATTATTTACTGTTACTTAATGGCCCAATAATAACTTTTTGGGATGAGGCTGTGAATAGATATCTGGACTTGGAAATTGAAGATGGTTAGGTCTGATTAGTAGGTTGGATAGAGACCTTCAGAGAATATGAAGCCTGGTCTGGGAAGACAAGACAATCTCAAAGTAATTTTATATTGTTGCCAAGGAAATTCCATGGATATGTTCTTTAAATCACCAGGAGGAGCAAGTTCAGCTCAAAGAGAACTTTTATGTCATTTTTGATGGATAAACTACAAAGGGTTCTGCTGCATATTCAACAGGCATCTCTTATTCTAAAAGGCTGGGATAGGATCCAAAATTAAACTCAGCATATAAGGGAAAAAAAACTTTAAAGGTGCAAAGTGTAAATGTGCAGATATAAATAACTTACACAATTTGAAAGTGAATTCCATAGTTGCCCTGTGATTTGTGAAGTCTGAAAGTTAAGGACAAATTTATGCAACTCTTTTACCAATCATGTTACACAGATTATGCCTGTGTAAAGGTTTGTTTGGGGGGGGGGGGTTGTGTCTTTGAGTCAGTCTTGATTCTTGGCGATTATATGAACAAGTCTCTGCAGTTTTTTTGCCAATATTTTCAGAAGGTGCTTGCCATTTACTCCTTACTGAGAAAGGAATAGCACCAAACCACTCAGTTAGCGCCCATACTCAAGGCAAGAATAAAATTCACATCTCTCCACTTCTAGTCCAATGCCTTGGTGTAGCTGTTAAAGGTGTTGTGCTGTTAACTGGAAGATTATGAGTTCTAGTTCTGACTTAGGCATGAAGCCAATTAAGAGACTTCATCTCTCTTTCTCAGCTCTAAGAAGAAAGTAACAGCAAACTACACTCAAGAATGTTGCCAAGAAAACTGCATGGACTTGAATCAAGCCTGATTCAAAGTGACAATTTTACATGTAAAAATAGAGATATATTAGGTTACCTTTCACTGAAGTTGTCATATCTTCCAACTTTAATATAGCAGATTCAGTGTCTTAGCTTTTGCATTAGGAAGCCTAACTTAAAACTCACTACAGATAGTCCTTGACTTATAACAATTCATTTAGCGACCATTCAATGGCACTGAAAAAAAGATTTGTTTTTCACACTTGTTTTTCACACTTATGACCACTGCATCATTTCCATGGTCACATGATCACAATTTGGACACTTGGCAACTGGCATGTATTTATGACAGTTGCAGTGTCCTGGGGTCATGTGATCACCTTTTGTGACTTTCTGACAAGCAAAGTCAATGAGGAAGCTAGATTCACTTAACAACCGTGTTACTAACTTAACAACTACAGTGATTCATTTATCAACTGTGGCAAGAAAGGTCGTAAAACGGGGCAAAACTCATTTAATAAGTGTCTTGCTAAGCAATGGAAATTTGGGAGTCAATTGTGGTCCTAAGTCGTGGATTACTTGTAAGACAACTTACAAATATAGGAATTTTTTTATATGAAGTCAGATCATTGATTTCTCTAGTTAGCAGATATCAGTGTTGGGTAGCAATAATTATCCATGATTTCAGACAAGAGTCTTTTCTAGCCCTACCTCAAAACTCCAGAGAAATCCTCTTTCAAGCCTGGAATTATCAGGAGAAAGCATGCTAAAGCCGAAGCAATGGACAAATGGAAGAAGACTGGACATTTCCAAAAACAAAACAAATCTAACACAAAAGCCTGTTGTCTAATTGTTAAAATGAGATTCAACTGATTTCAGCTTGACTAGTGGCCAGGTATGTTTATGATAACTATTCAGAGCTTAAAAAGAAAAAAAATCAAGTCAATTTCTCCTAGCAAGCCAGCCTCTTTCTGTAATGCACGGGTATCAAACTCGCCGCATCATATGACATGTCACGATGTATCGTGACTTTTTCGCATTGCCGGAGCAGGGGTGGGCACGGCCTCCGACTGATGCAACCAGTCCACGGACTGGCAGTTTGACACCCCTGCTGTGATGACTCTTTAATAATGTGGTCATCTGCTGAGCTAAGTGCAGGCCACTCATTCTCTGAACAGTCTCAGGAAGGCCTCTACATGCCTGTGCACTTTTACAAGAACATTCCAAACACTGTAGAAATAAAAATACTGTGTTCTTGTGACCTCAGACAAGTTCACATTCATTTTATTCTTTACTAGCAAAAAATAATTTCAGAAACAAAGCATGCATAATTATTTATACAACTCTTTTTTTCTTAGAAATGTTGGAACACCTAAACATCAGAAGTCGCAGGCCTGTTTAAAGGCTATGAAACCAATAAGATCAGTTCTAGGTAAGCCAGAAGCATGCTACTTCCTTGTTTAGTTTTGTACTGTTCTGTCTGCAATGCAAAACTAAGAATGTGGTAGAGAATAGCAATGCATGGGTAAAAACCTATAGAATCTTCATTTTAAAATCACAATACCATCCCACCGGAACAACAGCCTAACCAAAACAACGTGTGAACAACATGTAGGACATTTTATCATGTATGGTGGACGTGCAAAAAAGCCCAAAAAAATTGGATACAAATAAATACACTAATTCAGTTTTAAGCACAAATTTACAATAGAAACCAAAGACTTTTTTTTTGAGATTAAAGGAGAAACAACTAGGAAAAAAGTCATGAAACTTTGTTTTATATAACTGCAGTGTTATACTATACGCTCAAAGTGTGGAAAAGTTTGACACTATCCATAACAGACACTATCCACTATACATTTCACTACAATAGGTGACGATGATGAAACTTGCAGAGATGTCTAAATTGACTTCCTTGATTAGAGAAAAGACAATATATGCATTTAAGGCTGACTGAAAACCCTTTTAAACTTTTTTGCAATGAAACAGGGGAAAAAATAACTTATGAGTTGTGATTTTAATGATTAGAAAAAATGGATAATAGAAAACAGTGGGCTTTTTAAATTATACAGTAAGAGGTAACTGCAATCAAACTTATATTTTCTGCAAAAAAAATCAGAAACTTTCTTTTTATTTTTTTTTCTTTGTACACTTATGTCTTTTTTCTTTTCTTTTCTTTTTCTTTGTTTTCTTTATTCTGGATTAGTTTGTGTTAATTTTTATGCTCTTTTAATAGATATATGTGTTTGTGCGCACACATACATACACACATACTGAACAACAGACTAGGGAGAAGAGCAGGATTATGCAAATTAACCTTGTTTTATATTTGTAGGACTGAACTATCCCTTTCTTCAGAAATATATTGTATTCCCATTGAACAACTGCCCTGCTCTCCCACTGTTCCATATAGATTCTGGAAAACACAAACTAAATGCATCTCTATTAAACTACTTTAAAATTCAACAAAGTCTTATCCTCTTATATAGTCCTGATATTCTTCTGCCTGTACAGATATTTACCAAAGAAATAGCTAAGCAGTACTAAGCTATGAGGAGTCTGCCTTCTGTAAAATTTCAAACAGTGCTGAGCAATCTGATATGAGATACGGCCCCTCAACATTTTTTCTGCTCTCAACAAGCCTCTCGGAAACCTTAACTCCCCCAAATCAGTGGCAATTTCCACCATTTCGAGGTAGGAAATGCACAAAAACTCTGCCATATTTCTTAAAGTAGGTTCAACATGGTTATAAGAACGAAAAGAAAAACCTCTCCGACACATGAAATCCAAAGAAAAAAAGGTAGTAACTGACCTGCCCAAATATGTGATGTCTTCATCCCTTATTATGCATCACTGCTTTTTATTGAAATTCTCTCTACCCTTTGAAAATATTATGTGTATCCTTTAGCTACCATATTTTCAAAGCTAAAGATTAGCCAACTATCATCATGATGACACCATTCTCATTGCAAAAATATGCAAGTTCAAATAAGTGTTCTAATTTTTTTAAAAAAATGTCTTATTTTTGATCTGCAAAATGTGAAAGTACCTATTCCTTAAGTGTCAATCCACAGAGCTGAGAATTATCAGTAGAAAGTCAATGAATTATTTAATGCAAGCAAAGATGGGATTAGGAGATGACTTGAAAGTACAGTATCTGATTTCTCAGACTGGAGAATCATAACAGCCTGTTATATGGAACATCTGACACAACATGGACTAAACATTATCACTCAAAACAACAGATCTGCAGAGGGCACTCCACAATCCAAGGATCCAACTAAACCCATTACAAACTGGGATCAACTGGATTCTGAGGTTTAGAATCAAGAGGATCCTTAAAGTCTGTTATGGCCTCATGCAGTGCTGTGCTCATGGGCAATCTTACATTTTTCATTATGTCAAGAAATCTCTCTCTCATTTTTAGAGAAAAGAGGTGGGACAAGGAAAGGCTACCTCTGCAGATGAATGAACGTAAAACATGCTGTACCTGCAATGTTCTCTTGCTTGGGGCAAATTCCTTTTGTAGGCATGAGAACACGGTCTTCTTCATCGGGTGTGACTTGGATCCCGATTTCCACTGGCTCTGACACTTTCCTGAGCTCGGAGCGTGATGGAGGGGGAGGACTGCTCTTATCCACGTTCTTTTCATAGCAGGCACCACCAGCGCCATGGCACTGTTTCTTCTTGTGCTCTATAAAAACCAAGATGTCTCCCAGGGGAAAGTTCATCTGACACTGTCCACAGGTTAATAGGTCAGGGTCTGTTCCACCCACTGCAATGCTGAGCCCAACTGGGTCTCCTAGTGCTAGGCTCTCTTCCTCATGGGTGATGATGGCAGTGTCCACGTGGTCAGCCTCTGCTTCATTCGGAAACCCCAAAAAGGTGAGGGTCAAGGAGAAAGGGAAAAAGAAAAAAAGAAGGGAAAATAATTGAGAGCAATTGGTTTAAATATTCATATAATTGTATTTTTTATCTATTTCCCACCCTGCTTGTCTCCACAAGTGATCTGAGTACATTTTGCAATCAAGTCTGTCTGCAAAACAAAATAATAAGCATATTTAATGAGGCTTTTCTGGATCAACCATCAAAGTCCATAGCGGATTAATAACAGGGGAGAGTAGAGACCTGTTTGTTACCTCCAAAACTGGTAGGATGCATTGAACAGCGCAACAGATTTACATCAAGTTCTAACAGTTAAGTAACTCTAACCAATCATCTTTTTTTCTTTATAAAGCAAGAAACAATACTGAACTATGACTATGGAAGCCCATTTTTAAAAAATTGATATTGAAAATATTTTATATTACTGATTTTCTGATATTTTTCAACTATTTGTTGATCATGATCATATAGTGTGTAATTTTCTCAAAAAAGCTGTAAGTTTAAACTTGTTCTACTGTGATATTCTTGGAATTTTACTATATTTCTAGCTTCTTGTGACCCACTCACAGACTCACCCTCCAAAACATTTTTTAATTGGGCCCATTCCATGGCCACCATTCCAAGGACTATTGGAAGCAATGAATATGCAATACTTTGGACTTACAAATATAGCGAAGAGGCTGATTAACCTAACAAGGTAGCATTAGCCATGTCAAATAACCATGAAAAGCTTTGGCAACAAGCAGGCACCTGTTCAAAATGAATTTGAATGGAAACGGTGCTCAGTGCATCACAGAGAAATTAATTATCTCACAGGATTTATTAAAAATATAGGGAGAAATCGTGCTTACAGAAAGCAGGTTTTTTGGCACCACACGCATCTTATATAAATGTGTTTGATCTGATTGTGGTTTTATGCATCATCTTTCCAGGATGACCACAGGAGGAGGAGCTATTTTGCCTCTGATTCCTGGCATCGTAAGCCTGTCTTTCCCAAGAGGGAAGCCATTCCAGGGACAGGATTTTTCAATCACTATTGTACCAGGAAAGTGACAGCAATGATGCCTGAAGGAGATTTATACAAATTTGCCAAACCCAGTTTAGAGAACAAGTTTCTGTGGTTCCTGATGTCTGCAATCTCTTGGAAGGCAGCATAAGGCAGTCACAGGTTCTTGGGCTTGTCTTGAGCAGGAAGACTGTCTCTTTCAACCCTACCCACAAAGCAAGCTTGAGGTCTACAAGCAGCAGAAAGCGACATGTCCATTTGCCTTAAGAAAAAAGGCAGGGAATTGATCCCACACCCAAAACACACCAATCACGCTTTGTTCCATCCCCTACATTTATTAAATGCTCGGCTGGGGGAAATGGTACCCCAACTTGCCAGGCCACACAATCACCTTAATGTGACATGGCTCAGGGTAAAATGAAAATATACCCATCCCACACCTGCAATCTCTGGCTGGTTTTTTTAATGCCCCTTTTGAGAATGCACACTGAGCTTATAGACTGGTTTATGGATGGATCATGGGGTTTGTCCAGAATGAATGGCTCCCTGGATTCAGTCTCTCAAATGACACCCATGCAAACAGGCTTTCACGCAGTTAAGGTTTTCTAAAAATGACTTTAATTTTCTCCAGAAAACCCTCACAGCTAAACTATGCTTTCAATTGAGTAGGTTTAGTAGGCTACTTGAATCTTTTTCAACTCTTAACAGTCCTGGCTCAGCAGGAGACCTTAATGTCAAGCATTTTTTTTTATTTTAAGGTCCCAATTCTGTAATGTCACAAACCCTTTTTTTCTCCCTTTCAGTTTCTTTTACAAAATTGTTGTACGTTCAGATCTGAGCAACTTTAAGGTTTTTTTATTTTTATTTTATTTCAGTTAAACCAGTAGGCAACATTGAGGTTTTAAAGAACCAAAAGACAAATCGAAGAAAACATCTCAAATTGATTTGGTTAGATTATAATGCTATTCACTTGTTAACTGAAAGAAAATGAAATTTGCTCAGAACATTTCTCAACTTCAGCCCATTAGTATTATCTTAAAATGCTGAAAATTAAATGAGAGAGAGTCAATTTTCCAATTCAATTCACATCATGGTCCGCACTGTTCAAATTTGATTTATATAAATAATCTTCAGAATGCTCAACATTTTGATAGTTATTTTTAATTGTTATTATCTATTAGATGCCAACACTATTATGTGTGACATCCTCTCATTACTTAATATAACTAGAATTTTGGGACAATCTTAATGTAGCTAATTCATGATATTAGTACGGAACAATAAACTTTTGTTTTGTTTTGTTTTTATTTCCAAGGCAGGCTAACTGCAAAACCACACGAAATGTGGTCCCCGATCAGGCACAGTTCCCAATGACTGGCAGGGTTTTGCTCTAAACAAGAATTTTATCATTTGGCCTGATCAATGCACAGTGAATTAATGACATGTAAATAAAAGAGATGAGCCACTGAAGTTTTATCAAGAGAAGGGAATAGTGAAACTCCGCAGGGGAAAAAAACGAACACATGGAAATACTGGCATTGGTGATTTGTTTCCAAATTTCCTGGAGATCTAAAAGCAGCAGGACAATGTAAAACATTTGTCATACTTCTGAATTGCAATCCCTGAACCAAATGGGAAATTTGCCTAAGCATTTTTAAAACTGCTATTTATTTTTATTTGGATTTTTTTTTTGTTTTCTAATAATAAAAGGGAAGCTATCTAACCAGGAGGCTAATCCCCAGTTTTAATTAGATCAAAAGGCATCTGACTTCTGTTTTGAAAAAAAATATTGCTAATTAGTACATGAATGTAGTCAAATGCATTTTTGTCATTTAAACATAGGAGGTATGTACATAAGAAAATAACTGAATGCATCAGAACTTGGGCTTTGTTGGATTCATAGTACTTCAGATTAAGCCCACGCTAACTGCTTTCTCTTTACAATTAATGGAGGTGGATGAACAAGAAGTCAGCCTAAGGAATAGGAGATGCATGCATGAAAGCTTCTGAGTTTCCTGTACTTACTTGTAGCCAAATTAATCCACTAGGTAACTCAAACACTAGGCATAATGCATGGTGTGTGAAACCCATTAATTACTTTCCCTCCATCCTTTCCTCAAAGTTTACTTTAAAAGCGGCTGGTAGACAATGCAACGTAATTAATTTACCAATTTATTTTATGAAAGGACTCTTTTGCCATCGTGAAAATGTAATCATAACCCTAGTGCTGAGCGGGAAGTGAGTAGATTTCTGTGCGAACGGTTTGTCACAATGCAAAAGGTAATTATTTAGTGCTTCTGTTCCCTTTAATGATCTAACATTGAGCAATACTGTTTATATTGAAGAGAGCTTGCACCTTTAATTACCAATTACATATACATAATTTTAGAGCCAAAAGGGAAAGGAAAAACCGAGGGCTGTGAAAAGACTCCTTTAGACAACATATGCATCCTTTCTCAAAAAGAATTCCTATTAGGTGGGAGCAGAGTGTCAAAATATTAAAACAGGCACACACAAAGGAAGATAAGGTAAAGGGATTGGAAGAGCCAGAAATGAACCTAGGCACAAATAAGGAGCATAATGAGTGGAAGTCGGAAAATAGATAAAATTCAAAAAACGTGTCTTGGCATTTCCTTAACACTGTGGCTGAAATTACAATAGGCTATGCATGTGTTTTAATATGGAATCAGAGGGGAGCTTTCAAGCTTCTTAACTTTATGGTGTAGGAGATATTGCTCATTCAAAAAAAAATTAAAAAAGGAAAGCAAACAAGAGGGGAGTAGAAAAATTCAAAGTAACCAACCTTCCAGACCTCATATTGGTTGAAATTTCAAAATCTCCTTCAACTGCTAGTAGCTGATTTTTTTATTAAAAAAAAACTATTATTAAAAAAGGATTGAATATATTTTAAAGAAAAAAAATCAATTTCCTCAGTTTGCAAGACAATTTAGAAATCAAACATTCTTAAAGTCATCTATTTTCCCGTTTTATTTGGACATTTTGACATCCTGTGCTATGCGAGTCTCATTAGAATCTCATCATGATTAGTAAGTCTGTGTGTCCCCATTTATCTAAATCTTCTCCCCTTTACTCTCACCCAAGTAAATGGTGTGCACAATACACAAACACAGTAATTTTTCATTCTCTGAAGCTATCACATTTTAGAAAATCAGCTTTATATTTCCTCCTTGCGCAAAGTTCTCTCTCAAATTATCATTGCTGTTTTCAAAGAAATCAGTAGAAGTTATTTAAACAGTCATTTTAATTCTGATTAAATTTAATAACCCAGACAGAAAGCTATGCTGATAAGTGGAATAGTGCAGTCCTATATATATCTACATACAAGTAAGCTTTGTTGAATTTAAGGAGGCTTATTCCCAGGGAACCAAGTATAGAATTGCAGTATTATTGCAGATTAAATTATCTGGAGCAGGTATAAGTAATGTTGATAGATATACTCCAGAGTAAGTAGGGTCTTTCTTCAGTAATATTGGTTAAAAAATTAACTCACAGAATTGTATTTTATGTTGAAACAGAATTAAGAAAAATCAACTAAAAATAGCAATAAAAGAAAAAACATGCATTGCAACTAATCATTACAGAACTAAAAAAAGTTCATTGTTAGTTATCAATATATTGGTGAAACAATAAAGGAAGCCTAAGAAGCAGCCTACTATCTAATGAAACCTAATATGTAGAAAATATATAGCAAGTATGTAATTTTATACCCTGACACACACATAGTATATACGCGTATGTACATTACCCACATTAGTCAAGAAAAATATGAACATCTGTGATAAGAATCTGATGAGAACTTGAAGTTTTTCCATGCATAAATTAAATGAAAACATGATGACATTTTTTTAACTGGCCATTTATTCATTAAAAAAAGAAAAAAGCAAATGTAGTACAGTTCAGTATGGGTTCGTGTAGAAATAGAGATGTAAACCTGTTTTTGTTTCAAGGTT